CAAAACATTTACTCATGTACATTTACTTATGCACTTGATAACAGTAGGTTTTGGTTTTTAGAAGGATACATAAGAAACTAAAACAGTGAGTACTCAAGGGTGTGGAAGTGATATGGGAGTAGATAGAATGTATGTATGTTGTTGTTGGTAAGAAGCGGCTGATGATCTTGAACCGCTGACCTTGTGGCTCAAACTGACCTTGCAGTCCAGCACATTAAGCCACAGCACCACACCATATACGTGTGTGTGTATTTGACCCATTGAAATGTATTAGCCATTCAAAAGAAAAATAAGTAAATGTCTCCCATTATGCTAATTTCATCAAGTTAATATCATTTTTGTCAGAAGCTTCTTTTATCCTTTTCCCTTTTAGTTCCTCTATTTTTGGTGTAGTAAGAAAAACTCATTTTAGAAAGCATTGAATGTCATGTGTCTGAAAATATAAATTACTAACTTTGCAACTCAAACACCATATGCATGATGGACAGGGATTTTAATCTGAAGAAATTTCTTAATTAGATGGGTGAAAACTGGCTTAATGAGAATATAAATAAAGAAATGAAGATATCAAAATAAATTCTTACTGTAAATTTTCTGGAAAAAAATTCATCTTTTAAAATAAGAATTTTCCTCAGTGTTTCACTTTCTCTGTTATTTTACTGACCTAGCTTTTTTCCTCTTATGATTCACCAAACCAGAAAAACAATGTATTTTCCTTTAATGTGCCTGTTTTCAGTAAAGGAACAGGATGTTTTTCTTCTGTGTCATTTGTAAATAATGTAAAGTAAGTCCCATGTATGCGTGTGTAACTTTACCAGAGCCCCTGTTGATAAAGGACCCTCTTAACTTAAGGGAGAGTGGGAAACAGGCAAGACAAAGGGGAGGCTAAGACGTTAAGGATATGCCAGTGGATAGCTTGTTCATTTAAAAAAAGAATGGAAAAAAAACCTGAATTTCAGATCGCTAAGATTAAACCCATTCCTGTTACTGATAAAAAGTTTAATCCATGGTGTCATCTTTATATAAGAGAGACATCATGTTATTATTGTTATACTCATCCTACATTTGAGAAAATGAAGTTTTTTATATAGCTTAAAAATACAGGAGGTTGGAGACAAGTTAAGTTGTACCTCACCACTATTTAGCTTTGTGGCCGTGAACATATCACATAGCTTCTCTCGGACTTGGTATTCTTGTATGTAATATTGGGCTAATTAATACCTGCCTGGTTGAGCTCCTCTAAGGATAAAACCCTGTAACATGATGTTTGGCTGTATTACTGTCAAAGGATGACACCTCCATTTAGATGGGGCTCCCCTTGCATCCTGTGCACACTTCTATCCCAGAACTTAACAACTGCCTGTTGTCTGTGCATTCACTTCTAGAGCTGACTCTTGTTTTTAATCTCATCTCCAGCACTTAGGACACCGTCTGGAATGGTAGTTGATAATTTAAAATTATTTAAATACTTTAAAACAGAAATATCTTTAAATGTCTTATTATGTTTGGCATTATAGTGAATCTGTTGTTGAGATTTAATATTGATACATCCTTTTGACTTGGGTAGGTTCCATACTTGAAGATGCAGTGCCTATTAACACAAGTCACCACTAGATGGGGCACTAACCTTGATGCTACTAAACAGAACGCCTCGGTTCTTCAGACCTCACTAAATATCCAACAGCAACTTGAACTACGTATTACTCTTCCTACCTTAATATGAGGAGTTAGCATAGCTAGCATGAGCAGTATTACCATTTAAACTCAACTTTCCTCAGGTCCATTGTATTTTCAATGATATTAAATAAAATAAATACCTTTGAAATGCTTAGCACAGTATGTGGCACATGGTGCCAATAAATGGTTGTTGTGTGCAGTCAAGTCAGTTCTGACCCATGGCAACCCAGTGTAGGGTTTCCAAAGAGCGGCTGGTGAGCTTGAACCTCCGACCTTGTGGTTCAAACAACTTTGCAGTCCAGCGCATTACCCCACAGCGCCACACCAGGACTCCTATTATTGTTGTTTTATCAGACTTTCTTCCCTTGAGGTTTGGGAGTCCCCCCAAACATGTATTGTTAAAGCAATCTGTAATGAACATATGAAACTTACTTTGATAGTAGCTTTCCCTTGGCTCCATCTGCCCTAGGATTGTAGGCCACAACCCCCGCCCCCTGCAAGTTCCTTTTCTTTTCCCCATAGAATACAGAATGAGTAACTTGTTCCATGGCTATTGGACTTCAGTTGCTGGTAGTGGCTGTAGCTGCTTGTTGGCTTCTGTGACTCGGCGTTGCTTGCACTGTACCTGTTGCTTGCTGCTGCTGGACGAACTGTGAAAGTTGAAGTCGTTTTTCCCCCAGAGCACACCACCAATGGTGAGGATGGTGATGGATCAGGCCATCTTTTGTTCTGTTGTCTCGTAGGGTCGCTGTGAATCGGAACCGATTCAACAGCACTTAACAACAATGACAAGTTTTCCAACAAGATTGTTGGTTTGTTGTTCCAGCATTCTTTCAGTTCACTAAAATATGGATTCTCTGATACAGGAGTTGGAGAGGAGGTGAAGAGTTTAATACTCTGGATTTAAGTTCTGTACCCCATTTTGATTCTCCTTAGTACTCCTGAGTTTCTGAGTTTTAAAGCTTTCTGGGATTGTGTGAGATGGCTTCCTCCTGCATCTCTTGTCCACTTTCCCCTACCACTTATTCCATGTGCTGACACACTGATTCCTTGTAACTTCTCAGAGGTGTGGCTTACCACCCATTTCTACATGTTTCTGTTTGTACACCACAACTGTTTGCTGTGCATGCTCACACTTAAGAATGGCTAAGAAACACTCTCCTAGGTCTAAGAATCTTCCATTTCTTTTATCAATAATCACCACATTGTCTATTGTTTGTTTTCCAGAAATTTGTTGAAATTTTTCATCTCCTGGTGGCTATTCTCCCATAAATTCTTTAGTCCTGTAAGTTCATGCAGTTTGTAATATTTAGTGGGCTCTTGGGGAGGCAAGGAGAAATGTACCAAGGCCAACTTGCCGTTTTTAACAGGAGTCAGATTTAGAAACATTTTTAATGCTTTGTTAAAGTATAATTAATGTACAATAAACAACACATATTTAGCATGCATAATTTGGTAAGTTTTGATATGTGTATCTATCTGTTAAATCCTCACCACAATCAAGGTAGTGAGTATATCCATCACCTTCAAGAGCACCTTGTGCTCTTATCCACTTTATTTCCTCTTCCCCTTCAGTCCCAAAGCAATCACTGGTCTGCATTGTTTTCATTCATGTTGGGAGACCTGTGTAGTGATGTAAAAGGAGACGAATAGAGGAAACAACATCTATTCAATATCATTCATTGTAATCTCTTTACTTAGCAAAGCACAACAGCCTCTTCTGAAGTAGGTGATATTATCCTATCACCTACTTGGAAAAGCCCAAAAGTCTTGGAAAAGGCCAACCTGGAGCCCAGGTATAGCTGATCTTAAGGTCCATGCCTTAGCTCCAAAGACAGGATACTAGCTGGTAAAACCACCACTGTTTTCAGTTTGTGTGCGAAAACCACATCATCTCTCTGAGTAGTTCGTGATTTCTTGAATACGAAGGTTGCACTAAATGATCGCAGGAGCCCTGGTGATGCAGTGGTTATGTGCTTGCCTGGTAACCAAAATGTCTGCTAACCAGAGTGGTGGTTCAAACTCACCAAACACTGCAGAAGAAAGATGTGGCATTCTGCTTCCATAAAGACTTACAGCCTTGGAAACAGTATAGAGCAGTCCTGGTGTGGTGCTCTAGAATAAAGCACTGGACTGCAAGGTCAGTGGTTCAAACTCACCAGCCACTCCATAGAAACCCTATGCTGGTTTTCTATGAGCCAGAACTGACTCCACGGCACTTAACAACAACAACAACAACAACCTGGGGCAGAATTGGAGTTGATTCGACAGCACTGGGTTTGGTTTGGTTTTTGGACTAAATGATCCTAATGCCTTTTCAAGTTTACGTTTCTGTGCTACATTCACATTTTTTATGCAAAAATGGTAAAACTCTTCTTAAATATAATTGGTGGTTGTTGGTGGTGTGCCATGGAGTCGGTTCCAACTCATAGCGACCTTGCATAGGGTTTCTGAAGCTGTAAATCTTTACGGGAACAGAAAGCCTCATCTTTCTCCTACAAAACAGCTGGTAGTTTCAAACTGCTGACCTTGCGGTGAGCAGCCCGACTCATAACCACTACATTAACCAGAGTTTTAATTAAATGAAACTCCACAGTTCTTGGTAATTTTCAACAGTGGGGCTTTATGAAACATTAAAATCGTATTTTCTTTTCATAGGGAAGTGTTTAAGAAGCTCACGGAGTAATATGAATTAAAATAATATAGGATCTGCAGGTACTCTCTCAAGATAGTTGGTGAGAAAATAAAAATTTCAATTGTCTTCAGCAGTGTAGTATATAATTATTTTGCAGACATCCTCACTATGAACTTCCTAGCCTGTGTTCGCAAGGGCTATGTCCCCTCACTCTTTTATGACATTATAACATACAGCTTCTAAGCTTACAAATGGTGAAAGCCATACTTGTTACCTAAAGCTTAGCTGTACTCTTCAGTCTTACCAGAGAGTGCAGGTTTTCTATGTGAAAGTATGTATGCACACACACATACATGTCCATATATGTATACATGTAGAGTGATATGTGTGTGTGTGGAGAGAGAATTAGAGCTTTGTTCATACTTCTCAGATGTTACCAGCAGTGACTAAAATGGCATAGCCCAAAATGTATGAAATATATCTAACATCTGTACAGAAATATGCTTTATGTGCCAAGTATGTGTAGTAATGCTTCTATGCAAAGTTGGAATCAAATTTGATTGTTGTAAGACCTAACCATTTTTTTTTTTCCATTTTGCCAATCTTAGGAAAAGAAGATTTCTCTCGATTCTTCACCAACATCTTCCTTTACACAGCTGTTAAATCTAAAACTACCGTGGTGAAAAGCATGAATAAAAACACATCTGCTGTGACAACATCCAGTCTACTTGAAAAGTAATTTTTAAATTGAATTTCAGTTTGCTTTGAACATTCCTAGTGTGAAATATATAGGAGATTGATAACATTTATTTTAAAATTTGTTTGTTTTTTACAAGCCAGCTGTTTACTGTGCTCTAGACTAGTAGTAATACGAAAATTGATCAATTTAAATGTAATTTAAACTTTTAAATGTACATCAATGTGTGAGACAGATTTTGCATTCTCTTTTAGAACTATTTATAGAGATTACTTTCATTTTTTATTTTTATTTCATACATATCTATGGAATATGTATGATTTCCGAATTAAAAATTGTATGTGTTCGCTTTTGCTGAGCGACAACTGCCTCGACCCCCTCCGCCTCCCCCACCAATTTGTCTTAAAAGAAGCATTTATTCTTCCTTAGGATTTGTGGGTTATCTAAGCACTTCTTTGGCCTGAGTCAGAGGCGATGTGTTGTTGTTGTTGTTGTTAAGTGTTGTTGAGTCAGTTTCTGAGGAGGAGCTGGTAAGTTTGAACTAACAACCTTGTGATTCAAACTGACTTTGCATCCCACCTCATTAACCCACAGCACCACACCAGCCTTATTCACTCACATGTTCTGGGAGCTCAGCTGGTATAGCTCAGGTCTTTTTCCATCTGTTCTTTCATTTTCAAGAGGCTAGCTCAGGCCTTTTCACATAATAGTGGGACAGTTCCCAACAACCAGCACAGATGTTTCTCAAGTGTCTGCTTCCTTCACATCTTCTGGTGTCTCATGGACTCGAATCCACAAAGCATAGCCCAAATCCAAGGGGTGGAGATATAGACTTACCTGTTGATGGAAGGAGCAGTAAAGTCATATTCCAAAAAGGCATGCAGCTAGGGGTAGGAAGAATTTGTGGCCATTTTATAAACATGTAACACAGATGTTGTTATTGTCATTAAGTGCATGGAGTAGATTGTGACTCATAGCAACCCTGTATAGGGTTTCTGAGAAGCAGCTGGTGAGTTTGAACTGCAGGCCTTGCTGCTCAAATCAACCTTGTGGCCCAATTATTGTCCTACAGAGCCACACCAGGCCTCCTAACCAAAAGATAACATAGCTCACCAATGGTAACATAGCTCACCAGAGGTAACATAGCTCACCGAAGGTAACATACTATGTATATGTTCCTTTGGCCTTGTTTTTTTTGTGTGTTTTTTGATCACTTCAAATCAGTTTATACAGTTCCTTGTTCATTTTAATAACTACATAGTATTCTCTCCTGTGAATGTACCATTCTGCCTCTCTCCTACTGATTTCTGGTTGATTCTAACTCATAGTAACCCTATAGGAACAGGGTTTCCATTCTTTATGGAAACAGGCTCATCTTTCTCCGATGGAGCTGCTGGTGGATTTGAACTGCTGACTGGTTTGGTCAGCAGCCCAATGTTTAATCCCTTGAGGCACCAGGGTTCCCTATGGATGTACCATAGTTCATTTAATTTGTACCTTAATTATGGACATTTGTACTGTTTGCAATCTTTGGCGATTATAAATTATACTACAATAAATAACATAAATAAGTCAATCTGTAGTTTTTTGGGGAAATATTATTTGGATGTTGTTGCTCAGTGCTGTCAGGTTGATTCTGACTCATAGCTCCCTCTATAGGGTTTTCAAGGAGCAACTTGTGGACTTGAACTGCCAATCTTGCTATTCAAATCGACCTTACAGTTCAGTGCATTAACCCACAGTGCCACCTTTGGGATTGTTTGTTGTTGTTAAATGCCATCTAGTTGGTTCCAACTCATAGCGACCCTGTATAGGGTTTCCAAGGAGCAGTTGTTGAGCTTGAACTGCTGACCTTGCAGTTCAAAATGACCTTGTAGTACAGAGCATTAACCCACAGTGCCATACCAGGATTCCTGTGGGGTAGTTCCCAGAAATAGGATTGCTGGATCAGAAAATGCATTTTTGTTAAGAGATTACAAAATTCCCTCTTTGGGAATGATACTGTTTTGCATTTCCACTAACAATGTACCGGTGCCTTTGTTCCCAAAGCCTTGCCATCAGTTATGTTGTTGATTTGTTCTGATACTGAATAGCAGTATCCCCATGGAGATTTAACTTGTAATTCTCTTATTATAATTAAAGTTGAACAGCAGAACTGCTTTTAATAGCAAAAAATTGTTCAAAAGTAAGGAGCCTAAGTCAATAACTTGTTGTTTATTGTTAAGTGCCATCAACAGTAAGGGAATTTAAAACTGAGATCCTAGCCATCTGTCACAATTTTATGCTGCCATTGAAATTTATGCTGAAGAAGAACTTTTAACCAGCGTGAAGATTGCTTACAATAATGCTGAGTAAAAAGACAGCATCAAAACTGTTTATACACTGTGAAGTTAGCTTTAAAAATTCATAGATAAACGTATAGAGAAAAAAGGAGATTAGAAATATATACACTGGAGTCCTGCTGTGGCGTGGTTCAAATCCACCAGCTGTTCTGCAGGAGAACAATATGGCAGTTTGGTTCTACAAAGATTACATTCTTGGCAACTGTATGGGGCAGTTCTCCTTGTCCTATAAGTCAGAGTCAACTCAACGAGTGATTAGGAAAATAAGTGTTAATCCTGTTGTTGTTTAGTGCCATCAAGTCAGTTCCGATACATAGAGAGACCCAGTACAGGGTTTCTGAGGAGTGGTTGGTGGATTTGAACCACCGACCTTGAGGTTAGCAGTCTAATACTTATCCTGTAGCACTATACCAGAACTCTAGTGTTAATCAAAGTTGGGTGTTTTGTTGTTGTTGTTGTTTTTTAAATTTTTACTGTGAATTGAGTGAAAGTTTACAGGGCAGATCATCAGTTTAACGTTCAACATATCCTATGCTTTGTTTCATTACAATGATTATAATCCCCTCCATGTACCACCAGTTAACAGTATTTCTATTCATTTTAGATCTTTTTTTTTTTTTTTTTAAACACTCAGGCATATATAATAATTTAAACCACTAAAAGGCACATTCTGCAAGTCTGCCTCCTGGCCATCAGCTCTCAGTCTCTCTCTTTCCATGAATCTAGAGTCCTCATCTCTGGTGTCGCTGCTTCTCTGGATAGGGTCCTAGATTCCATTTGTGCTTTTCTCCATTGATGGTCCTAGGGTCCTCTGTTTCTGAACTGTAAGATTAACTATTCCCTGTTTCTGTCACAAAACCTTTATAATTGTAACAGTCGCAATTAGTCATGGTAACTATTGAATCATAAGAATCTTATCCCCTTCTCTTTTCACCAGACCCATCTAGACAAGATGAAAACTATTCAGTGGGGACTCCTATCTTCCCCCATACACTCTGAAACTAAACTCCCTCTTGAAAACTTGTAAGCCAGTCACTTTGTGCCTTTATCATCTTCTCATTTTAGGTAGCCAATGTCTAAATTGCCTATCCCTATCTACCCTATATACAGAGTAAATAGCATTGATACTTGATGTGAACTTTCCTTCCCTCTCTGTTGGTATTTTGAGCTACTACATCCATGAGTATAGGTCAGGTTCATCAAATTGCAGCAATTTACCCTTGTTTCCTTTATCAAAACTTGTTTTTCTTTTTTATCTTCCTCTAGTCAAGTTCTGATTATCAAGCCATCAAGGCTAGGTCAAATGGGTACTGTCTGCAAATTTGGGGGTTCTTGCACATCTCCCTTCACTTCATATCAGCTGGATGCTTCACTCTTAGCTCTAGCCCTCCATGTTTATGTACTTGTTCATGGGCTCAAGTGTCCCCAGGTCTCACCACATTTTGGACCAACCAGCCCTTCCTCTTTCTCTCTCATTTCCAGGTCAGCGGGAGTCTATGGAAAGTGGTTGAACTCAGCCCATTTCTTCATTGTTGCCATTCCCCCTCTTTCACTCACCAGTAGACCAGTGTGGTCACCAGCAAGCTTACATGCCTGCTCATGTCTTCCCTTTGAGGTTCAGTCTTAGAGGGGGGTTTGTCCTGAAGGGATTTGATTGCTTGCCTTGATGGCTTCCCGGCAAACAACTTGCTTATTCTTGTAGTAGCCAATCAT